GGCAGAGAGGTTGCAATGGGGGCAATGTTGGAAGTCGGACAGTGGATAGGGTCACCGTCTATCAGCCACAACCACAGCCCCACAAGCATGGGAGGACAACACCACTAGGCACATGCTGATGCCTCTGTCAGGCCATCCTTCTACTCCATTCAATCCACACACGCCCTCAACCAACCCTGCCTCCTCTCTCCCCTCTCCACACCCCCTTCCTCTGCATACGATCACCCCCTCCTCCGCTCCTCCACTCCAACAAATTCAGCACACCAGGACCCCTTTTTCGATACAGTCACAGTATGCATCGCAAACGCCAGGCTCTCTTCCACCACTCTCCGTAGCTTCTTTGTCCGGTTCACCGTTGCCCGACAACCACACAACCCACCGAACCCACACAACCCACACAACCCATCCAGCCCATCCCGCCATGCATCCCAGACAGCGTTCCAGCCCATACAGCATGCTCACTCTTCCGTAAACTCTTCAAAGCACCGTCCCACCACACAAAACCCCACACATGCACTCTTTCAGTCACCTGCAGCTTCCCACACACTCCCTCACTCGCCCACCACCTCCCCTCCGTTCATCCCCTCCCCTTCTCTCCACCACTCCCCTCCACCCCTGTCCTCCTCTCCACCACTCCTCTCCGTTGCACCGATCACGCAACCCTTCGTACCCCTCCAACTCTCCTCTCCACCCTTCTCATAATCCCCTCCACTCCTCTCCCATCGACTCCACAACGCTCCCCTCCACACCTTCTCCCACCCCTCTTCACCGCGTTGGCACCCCTCTCCGCCGCCCCTTAACTCCTCTAAACCGTTCTCCGTCCACCTCGCCATCCCCACGGCGGCCGTTCATCCCCCCCCACCTCCACCATTCCAACCCTATTCTCCAAGCACCGCCCACCTCGCTCCCGCTCCGCTGGCCTTCCCCCCATCCCCATGCGCTCACTCACTGATGCCACTGATGCACCAACTCTTGGTGTCAGCCAGAGAGCAGCAGAGGGACGTATGGCTGCTGACAATGGTGCAGTATTGATGTCAAGGAGTGGTTTGAGGACTGATTCTGCAGGTGCAGCAAGTTCAGGAGCAGGCGCGGGAGAAAGCGCGGGTGCAGCAGTGATGGTTAGACAGGGGGAAGGGGGAGTGAGGCGACTGCATGATCTATACAGGGATGCGGAGGGGAAGCCTAGGAGGCGACCCTGCATGGCTGAGTTCTTTGGGTACCCGCCTGGGCTCGACGAGTGGTGAGTGTTGAGCTGACTCATTAGCCGAGAAGAAGGCAGCCCTGTTGGCTTCGTTCTTTAGGTACCCGCCTGGGCTCGAACGAGTGGTGAGAGCTTGTAACGTTTCTGCAATGGTGTGACGTGATGTGTGCTGTGTTGTTGAACTCGTGAAGAGCTTGCTGTGTTTGCGAACATGCGGAATGTGTTTGTTTCTGAGTGTTTACAGAGTTCAGTACCCCTCTCAGAGGCATTGCTGGTGGTGGATAGTGTTGATTGTCAGCCCTGCAGCGCAGCCTGCTGGGCGTGTACTGTATTTCTGTTTTGGCACTTGCACTTTTTGCTGTACTTCTTTTCTCATCCTTCTCTTTCACTTGCTGTCCTGTGGTTGACAGGAGGGAAAGGTGTCAGAAGCAGTTCGCAAAATGACAGCACAGTCCGCCCTCACATTTGTCTTCACAATCCCGTCTGCTGTTCAGTCCGCGCAACAGCAAGCCAGCCACTATTGCCAACTACCCTATCACTGCCCACCCTGATAGCACTACCACAACAGTAGCAGAATCACCAACAGCAGAACCAGCAGCAGCAGCAGCAGCACTGCCACCAGCCACACAGCCATCACTCTCACCACCATCACCACCGTTACCCCAGCCCCCATTACTACCTTCTTCACCTCAACCATCACCACCAGCAGCTGGAAGAGATAGGCGAGCGGGCACAGAAGCGAATGGTGCAGCTGACACTGTACAGGTGGCCGGTGCAACAAACGTTTCAGATGCAGTAGGTTTAGTAGATCCAGCAGATAGGGGGGCTAATATGGCAGCTGCAGCAGGTGATGAAGGAGGCGCAGCATATGCAGCAGGCGATGCCAGTGCAGCAGACCATGCCAGTGCAGCAGGCGATGCCAGTGCAGCAGACGATGCCAGTGCAGCAGACGATGCCAGTGCAGCAGACGCTGCAGCAGGTGCAGTAGATTTATAGCAGGTGGGGCCGATGTTGTAGTCGTAAGAGGTATAGACCATGCCGGAGGGGTAGAAGAGTTAGCAAATGGCGGTGGTGTAGGAGCTGTGGATGGTATAGCAGATGCAGCAGGTGCAGCAGCTGTGGCATCAGTAGCACTCTCGTTAGTAGAAAGCAGTGGCTGCCCTGCAATAGGTGCTACCGTGCTGCACTCCCTGCACTCCCTGCAAGCCCTGCAAGCCCTGCACTCCCTGCACTCCCAGCAAGCCCTGCAAGCCCTGCACTCCCTGCACTCCCTGCAATCCCTGCAAGCCCTGCACTCCCTGAAATCTCTGCAATAGGGTTGTGCACTGGCGAAAGACAAGAGCATGCAGCAGCCACGACCACGGAGGATGAGTGCGTCATCCGAAACGATCTTATAGCAGCAGCATCAGCATCACCAGCAGAGGCAGCAGCGGAGGGATCTGCAGCAAAGGAAGGAGGAAGATGGGCATCTGCACGAAAAGGGAAGGCCAGGCTACTCTGACAGTTCTTGGTGCTCGAGATGGTGGGGAGAGGGCGAATGTTGGGGCTAAGGAGTTTAGGGACATGCTGATTGCAGCAGGCGCCCGGCGCAAGTTTGCCACACAAGAGTAAGACACCAACCTCCCTCTTCACTCTTTTGGTTCCTGACCCTTTTGATTTGATTCGGCCTCTCTCGTTTGCGTGTTCGGCTCTTTCATCTAGGCGCGCCGGCCTCAATGAGAGAGCCGAACGAGCAAGAAGTCGTTGCTTTGTTACACTGGCTGGCACAACCATTTTTTTTCAGCCAGGATTTGAGGCGCCTGTAACGAAGGTCACACTTGTGGCACTGGCACGGCACCCGACATTGTTTCAGTTCAACCCATCATCTCCGTTTCCCCTCTTCTCTTCTTCCTCTTCCAACCACCCCTCCAACACAGGTGGGTGACGAACCACTACCACTGGGTGGTGTTGAAGCTGGCCTGTCAGGAGCGCAGCTTGCGTGTCCAACATAAACCTCCTTCCTGCCCCTCTCCCTTTTAACCCCTCCCTTCTCCCTCAACCGCCCTTCACAGGTGGTGTCGAACGACTACCGCTGGCTGGTGTGGAAGCTGGCCTGTCAGGAGCACAGGCAGCTCGTGAAACCCCCCCCCCCCCCCCTCCTCCCATGCATTTCCCCTCCCGCATCCCCCATCCCCAACACCCCTCACAGTGGTGTCTACCACTATCGCTGGGTGTGTGGAAACTCGCTTGTCAGGAGCGCAGCTTCCCCCGTCGCCTTGCAGGAAGGATGCTGACTGTGGAGAGAGTGCTGGAGCAGCTCAAGTACAGGTGGGTGTTAAGAAAAGGATAAAGAGCCTCATTCGACCTTTTGAGTCTCGACTTCTGAGTTTCGACTTTTGAGGTGCCTCGAAAGTCGTCTCAGTTTAACTCTGCTCACTGCTCCGTGGTCAGTACAAAGACCACATGGCTGAGCCGCTGTTGAATGACCCCGCTGGTTCTGCCGTAACCTTTGCATTTTGAGTCCTTGCTATTTTCTGCCATCTTCCATCATGTGTCCTGCCTCCATGCCCATGCAGGTACGAGAGGGAGGTGAATGAAGGCAAGCGGTCGGCTCTGAAGAAGGTGTGCGAGCGGGACGCTGCTGCTGGCAGCCCCATGGTACTCTGTATCTCTGCTGTGCACTCCCAGGGAGGAGCACGTGGAAGAGGGGTTGGGGAGGAGGAGGAGGATGGGGAAGAGGGGGAGAAGAGGCAGGAGGCGGGGCGGCAGAGAGGGGCGGTGGGTTTGGGGCTGCAGACGGCGATGATTGAAGTGACTGATGGATGGTGAGGAGGAGAGAAGTTTATGGGTTAATGGACATTCGCATGCCATCATAGTGCAAACACATACATCATGTCTGCATGCCGTTCTACTGCGGCAGATGGTGTCACATCGTTGCTCTTCGTGCATCTCTTGCAACAGCCATGTGCCCCATGCAAGCAGCCTTAGCAACCCCACCCAACGCCATCAAACCCCCCCCCCCCCCCCCCCCCCCCCCCTCCCCCCCCCCCTCCCCCCCTCCTCTCCGACACCCTTTTTGTGGCACCTCAAAGCCAGCAACCTTAGAAGTCCGTATTTTGTTGGCACCCGTGCGCATCAAATCTTACCTTACCCTCAACACCTTACAGAACTAACGACCTCCCTCTCACGCACCCGCCCACTCTCCCCATGCGTCCCTCTTTGTCCAGGTACTGGCTGCCTGCTCGCCTCATTTTTTTAGTCGACTCATACCCCCACTTTCCCCACATGCGTCCCTCTTCATCCAGGTACTGGCTGCCTGCTCGCCTCCATTCTCCCCTCACAGCTACACCCCAAAAGCTATACCCCTCCCCTCCCCTCCTCCTCTCACACGCACCCTCCCACGCTTCCCGTCCCTTTTCAACCCCCCTCCCTTCCAGGTATTGGCTGCCTGCTCGCCTCGATGCTCCCCTCACAGACCTTCTGAATCGCGGTCGGCTCTTGTTGGCCAGAAGATACGGGTGGGTGCACTCATTCGACTCAAAGTGTGATGAATATTGCACTGAGAGCAAGCTGCTTCTGAACCGTACTGAACCAGCCTGAATATGAAACCAAACCTCAATATGAATCCCAATATGAACCCCAGCCTGAACCGTACTGAACCAGCCTGAATTTGACTGTGAACCTGAAAATTTTACCTGCTTTCAAACCCCGTTCTGATCCTTATGTTGACCCGCATCCAAACCTTAATCTGCCTTCTCCCGGCTCTCTTCCTACATCACCTCAACCTCAACTCAACCCACCATGCCAGGTGTGTGGGGCGGTGCTGAATGGCTGCATGGAAGGCCTCCCTCCCCTCGAGGTATTCCCCATTCCTTCACTCTCCATTTTTCAATCCTCTCCTCACTACTCCGCTTTCTTTGCCTGCATTTGTCTTCCCCGTATTGTATGGAGCCGTGTGCTGCGTTTGTTTCGGCATGATACTTGTGCATACCACGGCACGCACACTCGCCAGCTGCTGCTTGGTTCTTATTCACAGCCTCCCCTCACCGTTTGGGACCCCTCACCGTCTTTATTAACCCCAACCCCAAGACATCCTCCCCCCACTTTAGTTTTGAGGCGCCTCAAAACTGTTATTATTCACAGCCTCCCCTCACCGTTTGGGACCGTCGTCTTTATTAACCCCAACCCCAACCCCAACACATCCACTTTTGAGGCGCCTCAAAACTTTTGAGGCGCCTCAAAACTCACATCCTCCCCTCACCGTTTGGGACCGTCGTCTTTATTAACCCCAACCCCAACACATCCTCCCCCCACTTTTCTCTCGACCCTCTCTCTCCTTCTCACTCCCGTCGCGTCACCGCAGGCGTGCACAGCAGCAACGCTCGCCCTTCACTTCAACGGCACCTTCCCAGCTCACTGGTCCACCAAGCTGGGCTTCTGTAACGTCGCCCACCCCCACAGAGTGTTTTTGAGAAATCTCATAAACAGGGTGTTTCTAAGAAGTCCCCAAAACACCCATGGTTCTAGAATTTTCAAGAACACCCTTTTGAGAAATTTCTAAATCACCTATCCAGCTCACTGGTCCACCAAGGTGGGTTTATGTGCCCCACGCCCCCACGAAGGGCCATCAAATAGCCATTAGTCGAAGGATAAGTCCTGCCAAATCCACTTTCTCATCGAGTCAAGCCCTGCCCCTGCCCTTTGGCTTGACCTCCTGTTTCCTCTCCAACATGTTTCTTTCTTTTCCCGATCTATGCTGGCCAGAGATTTTCCACCCTTTCTGTCTCCCTGCTGCTCTCTATCTATTCCTCTTCGCTCCTCCCTCCCCATCCTCATCTCCCCATGTGCTTCCCCTCATCCCTCTGCTCTTCTCCCTCTGCCCTCCCCCGCTACAGGCCGACAGAAGCCGCCTGTCCCAATGGCACTGCGCAGGGTGCGGGAGGACGGGGGAGCTATCCCCCTTACGTGTGTGGCCATTGCACGGGTCTATCCTACAATGTACTGGGAGAAGAACACCGCAAGGAAAGCTGATGCGGATGCTGCTGCTGCTGCTGCTGTTGTGCCCGGTGGTACGATGCCTCAGCTAGGGCTGAAGCAGTGGCAGCTCGTGACTTTGAGAAGAGGTGAGAGACTAATGCTAAGATCTCTGTTTTGATTTTCCTCCTCGCCCTCCTCGTCGTTGTCGTTGTCGTCGTCGTCCTCCTCCTCCTCCTCTGTCCCTCAGCCGTTCTCCTCTTTCCCCTCCCCCCCCCCCGCTTCATCCCCCACCCACCCGCTTGCCTCTTCTCCTCTGCCTGTACCCGTTCCGCTTACCAGGAGGGAGCAGGTGGCCGAGAAGGCGAGTCTGGAAGCCGAGAAGCAACTAATGGCTGAAGAAGCAGCAGAAGCAGCAGGCAGGGGGGGCAGAGCAGGAGGACGAGGAATAGGAGGAGGAGTTGGTGGAAGGGGAGAGAGTGGGGGGAGAGCAGGGGTGGGGAGGATGGGGATGGGGCGGGGGCGGGCCTCTGCAGGATTTTCTCTGGGGCGGGGAAGGGGAGGGCTGGCAAGGGCGGAGAGGGAGGGGGGGTCGTTTGTTGTTGGAGTTTGATGCTAGTGGTGATCCGGAGTCGTTCTATGGTGGGCTGACTGCTGAGCACGTGGTGCCATGGAAAGAGCTCAGCTGCAGAGAGTGGTGAGTGGAGAGGGAGGGGTGGTTATGTGTTGAAATTTGGGATGCGGGAGGGAGGTGGGCCGTCTGCTACTGGAGTGTGTTTCGCCCGTGTCCTCATGTTCTTGCTCTGTGCTTCCCCCATGCTCCCTCGTCCCCACAAGCACTGATGCTGTCACAGGAGAGGCGGAGGGCAGCAGTGCAGGAGGCAGTGGAATGACGCATTGACAGCTGAAGTGACGTGTGTCCCTCTTTTGTCCCCATCTCCGTGCTCTCTGCCCCTCCTCCTCTCCTCCTCTCATCCTTGCCACCTGTCAGGAGAAGCGGAGGGCGGCAGTGCAGGAGGCGGTAGATGACGCATTGGCAGATGAAGGGTTGAAGGAAACGGGACGTGTGCCCTGTGGTGAAAGTGCGAGTGGTGGGACTCACTGGAAGCGATCCAGGGAGGAGAGGGAGGAGGGGACAGAGATGACGAGGAGGGGAGTGGAGCAAGAGGGTGCGGCAAGGGGAAGGGATTATCAGCATTTGGCGACCCAGTGACGAGCAGGTGAGGGCATGACATGGCATGGGGGAATGGCATAAGGGATGGCATGGCATGGTTTGGCTTGGCATGGGGCTCTGCATGGCATGGCATGGAATGGCATGAGGCATGGCATGGCATGGCAGAGCATGTTATGGCAGGGAAATGATGGCATGGCATGGTTTGTTATTGCGTGGCATGGCTTTGTATAGCATGGCATGCATTGACATGAGTTTGCTTGGCAGTGCTTCCTTCCTCCCTTCATTCCCCTCCCTCCCCTCCCTCCGTTCCCCGCACTCCCCTCCCCCTCCCCTCAGCTGCTGCAGGAGCTGGTGGAGGGCGGGGTGTACCTGGTGGAGGGCGGGGTGTACCTGTGGTGGGCGGGTGTACCTGGTGGAGGGCGGGGTGTACTGGTGGAGGGCGGGGTGTACCTGGTGGAGGGCGGGGTGTACCTGGTGGAGGGCGGGGTGTACCTGGTGGAGGGCAGGGTGTACCTGGTGGTGGCCGGGGTGTACCTGGTGGCGGGCCTTCAGCCGTCTGTCACGTATCCTGACACGTCTCCTTGTTCCCTCTTCTCTCCTTGCTTCTTTCCTGCCTTCGCGCCCTCCCTTTCCCACCTCCACTTCCCCCACTCTCCTCCTCTCTCAGCTGCAAGAGCTGGTGGAAGGAGGCGTGTATCTGGTGGCGGGCCTTCAGCCGTCCGCCACGCGGCGTGGATGCAATTGTCCGCTGCTCTCCCTCAACGCCAGCCGGTCAACCAGGTGGCGCCGACTTGAACCATCGACTGTTCAGAGAAGCCTCAGGTCAGTTTTTTTCTGACTCCCGAGTCAGGTATTTCCTGTCTTCTCTCTACCGTCTACCAAGTGAAGGAAGTGGCTGCTGCTGTTGCTTCTGCTTCTGCTCCTTCTTCTGCTTCTCATACCATCCCGCTCTTCCTCTCCTTTTTCTCCCTGCATCTCCCCCACAATCCCACAGCTTCTCTTTCCCCCCTCGTCAGTGGACCCCCCTCGCCTCGTTGCCTGCCACTCCCCCGGGCAGGGAGGTGGACGTGGTGGCACTGGTGCTGGGCCGTGGGGCAGCCGCGTGCCGTGGGGGCGTGGCAGACGGGGCAGTGGCTTCTGCTGCTTGATGGCTCGGGGGAGAGAGAGCATTGTGAGAATGGGGGAGATATGGAGGGAAGAGGTTTCTCAGGGAGAGGTTTGGGGGGAAGAGGTGTAGAGAGAAGGGGTGCAGGAACAGCTGAAAGAGAGTTGCCGTCAGCAGTGGGTGTAGCGTGCTTGACAGGAGCAAAAACACCATATGCACTGCCACCACCACCACCGCCACCAACCCCAGGAGCAGAAGCACCATCAGGGTCACCCTCCTCCTTAGCTATACGCCAGCCTATGCACCAGGCTGGGAGGAGGCCTGGACTGGGTCGGGGGAGGGAGAATTGGCGCACGGTGGGAGGGGTCGGAGTGAGGGGTGGGATGAGCCTTTGGGGAAGAACGGGCAGAGGCAGCGGCGGCAGAAGTGGCTGTGGGAATGGCGGTGGCAGAGGCAGGCGATTGCATTCTGTTAGTGGTCATGGTGGGGGTGCTGGGATGTCAGAAGGGGGAGAGCACGGAGCAGCCATGTTGAATGGGGGAGGAGAAGGATGGGGGGGATCCAACAGGAGGCCGGCGGATGGATGGCGGCCACGAAGAGGGGGTGAAACTTCACTGATAGGTCCGACTGCAGTGAGAGCGCCAGCAGCAGTGGCAGCAGGAGCGCAGGCACGGGCAGGAGGGGGAGCGGAGGTACCACTGAGTGTGGCGACGGGGGGGATGCGCGGACAGAATGGCGGTGGAGCAGTGGCTGGCAGGGGGGGATGGGGGGGCAGCAGTGGTAGCTGTGCAGGTGTTGGCTGGGGAGAGGGCGTTTGTGCCACTCGATCCGTCCCTCACGGGTTCCATAGTGAGTGTGATTGCAATTGGATGGATAATGTCTGGTTATGTGTTTGTCATTTTTATTATGTTCCTATCTAGATGCTTGTAAAGCTGGTCAGATGCTCCTGAATTTCCCCTTGCTTTACCCGTCCCTTTTGCTCTATCTTGCCTGCTCACCCACCCTGACACTTTGCCCATTTTCCTGATTTGTCCACATTGCCTCTCGCCCTTCCCTCACCCTCGACCACTTATTATCTGTTGCCCCCCTCCCCCCCCTCCCCCCCCCCACCCCTTCAACCCTCCCCTCCCCTTTTCCCGCCCTTCCTGCCCCTTTCCGTCCTAACCCCAAAACCACCACTCCCCCTCCCCCTTCCCCAACCTTACCCCTGTCATTTTTCATCTGAAGGTATCCTGGCGGAATCTTATACGAAGACTCGGTTGTTTTCACGGAGAGGAAGGGGTGTGGATAGCGGAAGCAAGTGACGCTGCAGAAATGTCGCTCACATCCACATTTTTCCCGAGATCCCACGGAGAGATTGGCTGCGGATGCCTTGGCGAAATGGAGGAACAGAAACAGTCAGGTAGTGTTAGAGTATGCATCAGGTTCTCTTGGCCTTTCAGTATAGTCATTATGCTAATTTCATTCGATTTGCACTGTGCAGGTAGTAGAAAGCTTGCGCCAAAGTTTGTGGCCCCTATTATTTAATGGTAAGAATGTGTAGTTGCACTTACGGTAGTAAGAAAGCACTAAAAGAATTCCCAAGCGAGGTCAATTTATGAATGGGTGTGAATTACTCAGGTTGAAACGACCTGTATATTATAACTTCAGCACGGAATATGTGACAACTGTACGCGTTATTGATACGAGGGGCACCCTAGAGGTCAGGTCTGCTCCCCGCCAACCTGTCACTCTCACGTGTACTTGGCTTGGTAGCCCCGCTCGTCCTTTTTCTGCGGTGTTGCCTGCCAGCTCCTGACAGCCTGAGGGTGTTGAGGATTCTAGGACCAAGTTCAATTCAAGCTCTCAAACAAACAGTGAGGGTCATAACTGTCGCTACAAGGTCAGAGAGAGGCCGAGCGCGGTGAGAATCATTATTTTCATCGTACCGCAATCTCGTCAACCAACTGTTATGATTATCCTCAGTCCTTGTCCTTCCCGCAATAGTGCGTTACTCAATCACGCGCAGATCCAGAGGGGATCGTTAGAAACCCTGGGAAGTACAGTATGTAATGGTATGGTCCTACAGAATTCTCCCGAGCAACAGGTTGTGGAGCTGACAGAGGCCTGCTAGCTTGCAGCCATAAATCTTATCATGCAACAGGCAATCAAATATTTGCCGTTTGGACATCATCTCCGATGTTACTAGTTTCGATCGAGCGCTAAGGCGTGTACTGCAAAAACTCGACGTCGAGGGACGTCGGTGAATCCTGACGGTTGGAACCTTTGATCCGAGGGTGGAAATTCACCGACGTTCCTCGACGTCGAGTTTTGCAGCACTTAGCACACGCCATAACGGTGTATATTCCTCGAGAGCCGAGTTGTGCATGCCACTGCTTGCAAGAGCTACTATTCAAGGACGCTGCAGCTAATTGTCAGCTGCTGAGTATGGCAGCTGGCGGGGCGCGATACTTGCGGAAACGTTTCTGTCATTTCTGTCCTCCCCTCGTCAGCCACATTACCTAAGGAGTGGGTTAGCATGGCCGAACTTGTATATTAGCTGCAGATCCCATCGCGACCCTGAACATTGACGCAACAACTTCAACTTATCAGCATCCATTGCGGTATACTACCAGCACTATACCAGCATTCTATCTGCCTTCTATCAGCGTGCGTTGAACTCCTTGACTAGCACTACACCAGTTTCACATCTCGACAGACGGAGACTGCATTCAGTGTCACAATGATGCTTCCAGCAAGCCAGATCCTGGTGCCGCTGCTGCTGCAAGATTTCGACATCAAGTGAGTCTTAGTAGTGGTACCAGCATCGCTTGATTTGAATCGAGCTTACTAGAGCCGCCGCAGTCCCACATTGCTCAGAATCCCGCCATTGATTGTTATGACAAATCTCAAGCGATTTTGTTCTATCATTCTCATCTCCGGTCGTTCTGCCTTTCCCCCCTCTTCCCCATTCCCCCTTTCTTTCCGCGTACCGCAGCTGGAAGCCGTCGAGTCCGCCGAACAAGCGCGCGAGGCTGCGCGAGTTCAAGCACTGCATTCCCCACGACGGGCACGAGTGGCTCAAGTACGGCCAGAAGGACATCTCAGGCGGCCGCTTCTCACGGTCAGTCCTAATACATGCCCTCTTCAACCGTTTTTGTTCTTATAATTTCTTCTTCGTCTTCTTCATCTTGTTTTTTATAGGTTCGTTTTTTCTCCTCTTTTTTTTTTCACGCCAAAACAATGTTGCGGAATGGTGTGCTACTCCGCTAGTTCTTAGATCCGTCCATCTCTGGTGACGCACTGGTTGGTGTGCTGTACAAGTGTCGATTATGACAGTGACAACGGCCTAACATGTTCTCCCCGTCTTGCTATTCCCTCTTGTCATTGCTCCTAACAGGCATTATTTCCGCTGCAGCCACTCCGACAACGGCGGACGCCGCTGCCCTGCGCGCCGAGTGGTCGACGTGCACACGCTTTTCGGCCAGCCTGGCGCCTCTGACATTGCTCCACGTGTCATCTACTCGGGCAAGCACAACCACGCGCAGCCTGCCTCTCGCACCCCCTCCGAGAACGAGTCTCTGTTAACGAATCCCACATTCCCTACAGAGCGCGCCAATCTCACTGCTACTGGTAGTATGCGGGAGCAGCTTGCAATCACAGGTCACATGTTCCCGCTCCCGCGTGCACAGCTGCAGCATTCTCCATGCTCTGAGAAGCGGCAGCACCATGCGACCACACTCGACCTATCTGTGATTTGCAGCGGCTTGGCGAAGGAAGATGGCGAGAGGTGTGACAACTCGTGCCCGCTCACACCCACCACGCCCAGCTCGCCACCACCGCTGTCCCCGCCACTGTCCGCCCCGCTGTCTCCGCAGTCGTCCCCAGCGCCTTCCACGCCGGTTTCCCCGCGGACTCCCCTTTGGCTCTGGGCGGTATCATCCAGCAGTGTGATCCCGCCATCACCAGGAGCAGCGGCGGAGGAGGCTGAGCAGGAAACTGGGGAGCTGCATACGGGCTTGGCTAACGGAAAACGAAAGTGGTCAATGCTGGTGAACGAGGCTGCTGCTGATGACATGTCACGAGCAGATGTCAACTTGAAAGGGTGTCAAGGATTCCAAGTTTCTGAAGTCAGCCTGGGTTTGAATCATGGGATTCTGCTGCCAAGCGAAGATCTTGATACAAATTCGAAGACTCCGTCGGAGCCTTTGGATCATGGGGTGCTGCTGACAGCTGCGGATTGGGCTAGCGCGAGCAACAACTTTGACACGTTTGATCTGAGCCCGTTACAAGGTGCTCCGATTGGGACAGCATGTCCAAACGGAGCTCCTGCTGCTCTTCCCAAATCGGGGTCAGTAACATGGCAGAATATGCGGGAGTTGGAGGCCTTGGCTCCGCTCTTCCCACCGCCAAGCGCAATGGGATCGTCCGACCTGACGACAAATGAGGTGGCTCAAGTTCAACGGTGCTGCTGCTCACCCTGCATGCTCCCTCCTTTGAAAGAGCCAGCTTTGACTGTGTCGTTTAAGTGCTCTGCAGCAGGCGGATGCGTTTCAGCCAAGGGCTCGTGTGATCGAACCTCCTCAGATTTGGCCAATCACGGTGGAGGAGTTGCTCCTTCAGCTGGCAGGGAGGGGTTGGTGATTGCGGAGGATGAGACAGGGGTGATTCAGGTGGTGATGAGTGACGAGATTCCGCGGCGGCAGGAAAAGCAAGCAGACGATTTTCGCAGCAATGATCCGGAGATTCTCCTGGATCGACGGGTTCCGGAGCTCTCGGAGATTCCTTCTCGGTCTAAAAGGAATGTGTCAGCTGGAGGATCGGAGGGAACGACTGTGCTTGACGAATGGTTTAGTGAAATGGGTGCTGCTGATGGTTCATGTGGCCGTACTAGCAAGGACAATAAGTGGGGTGCGACTTTCATAAGAGAGATTAGAGGGGTTGATGTGTTCGGTGATGAGAGAAGCTCCAGCCCGCTTGTTATCTTGGAAGACTCCCTGGGCATGCTCCACGTTGGAAGTGAAAAAAGATGGTAAGATGACTTCAGAAGCGGGTTGAGCCTAGATGCTGAAAAACAGCATTGCCTGCGTGCTCCATAACCAGGCTGAGTATTGTATACATGTAGATATATGTACGTTGTACGCAGGCTAGTCAGGGTCTCTGATTGATGATATATATATAGATATATATATATATATACATATATGGTAGCAGCCATTCAGGCATTTTACTTGTCACTGTTAGTTTTAGGTGAGGTGTGGTCTCCCTGGCACAAATAGATTTGTTGGCGTTCGCACGTGCCCGTAGCAGAAATGACTGGAGGAGCGCGGGAGCTGAAACTTGCTGACAGGTGCCGCGGGCCGTCCGATCGAGTGCCATTCATCTGCGAAGCAACGTCCCTGAAGATGGGGCGAGAAAGATGGGTGAAACCGGATTGGGTGAGTGTCAGGTGAACCGTCGAGGCTTTCCTGTAAACAAATTTCTTGCGTTTCCAACCCTTGGAATCTTCAACAACCGCTCTGTTACAGAAAGCATCTTACTGAACCGTGCTATACAATAGTGGGCTTGTGACATCCATGCATCATCCGAACATCATAATCGCCTTTCCCAGTCGTTGTCTTGTCAGCCTTTTCCAGTCTGGTTGCTGTTATGGTTGCTTTCTGCTTTGAATGGAATCTCGTGCTCCTTCTGCTGGTGGTTCAGACTGAAGCGAAGCAGCAGGAGAGAGCGTTTATTCAACCTGCTTGTGCATTGCTTAAAAAAAAACATTTATTCTAATAGCTTGAGCCCAGCTCGGATCTTGTCCTCTTCGCGTATCGAGCCTCCTTTTTCTAGTACAGTATATCCTAGCGATAACATTTATTCTCTTTTCATTGAGTCAAAATGCCGTCAAAGAAGAATAAGAAGAACAAGAACAAGCCGACAGTGAACACTGGTACGAGTTTGCCACTCGCTAGCTCTTGTACGATCAATGACCCTTCTGAGAAATTTCACGCCACTTCAATATTCTAGATCCACGACGCAATCAAGTACGTGTACTTCCATAACTGCGTCTATGCTTCAGCTGCAGAGAAAACGTCGTCCACGGCGAACTCGAAAGATACGCCCGAGACTCCGACCACTCCTGCGACACCGGCGACTCCTGCGACTCCAGCGACGGCATCGGATGCGGTCTCGACCAAAGGTCAGCTCAGAAACTCTCTGCATCGGCCTGTTCTTGCATCTCCTTCCATCCGTGTCATTTTTTTTTGCAGATCTGGCAGGAATAGAAACGGATCTGCGCCTTTACATGATTTCCTTGATGTCGCATGACTTTCCCGTCCCAGGCGACGTGAAACCAGAGGAACCACAAAAGGCCGTTCAGGCGACTCAGGCGACGCAAGCGACTGCGCCAGAACAGTCGGCTCAGGCAAATGCTTCGTCGAATGGGGGAGCTGGCGGAGGAGGAGGGGGAAAGAAGAAGAACAAGAAAAAGGCATCCTCTGAAGCCGTCGGTGAGGAAGGTAATGGAATCTTGTATTCGCCATGGTAAGCGAATTGTGGCAATGTCGTGCTGCACTCTTCATGGTTTCTCTGCCTTTCAGTCGTAAGTAACTGAATAAATCGCGAATTCATCGACGTAAACCGCTGCGAGAATACATTACGACCAAAAGTTTTTTCCTCCTAACTGGGCCATGCAAGGGTCGAAATGATGGAACCCGCCCTTAGACCCTTTATTGAAATAAGACGGATTTGGCCATGCCTGGTCGCCAGCTGGAAAGCTCAAAGTACGCTGATCACGCTGATTATGCTGATCACGCTGTCCTATTTGGGGGGCTGTTTATATTCCGGTTCATGCAGTATTGTTCATGGAGTAGGGTCCATAATGCACGGTTTCTGGCGTAGCTGGGGTTGTCACTCGCTAACCGAACATTATTCAAGTTTGCTTTTTCTGTTTGCTTGTGGTCTCTCCGTCCCTTCTCAACAGCTCCCGCAACTGCCACACCACAAGCCTCAGCAGATGCTGATTCGTCAGCTTCAGCTGCATCCCAGCCCAAGGATGGAGGGGAGGTCATGCTGGCAGCTGCAGCAGCAGTAGTCGCTGCGGCCGCCGTCTCTGTTGCTCCCGAGCCAACCCCTGAGCCGTCACCAGAGCCTGCACCTTCAGCCCCTGAACCTGCACCAGCAGTCCCTGAGCCTGCACCTGAAGCACCTGAGCCTACACCTGCAGTCCCTGAGCCTGCACCAGCAGTCCCTGAACCTGTACCCGAAGCACCTGAACCTGCACCAGCAGCCCCTGAGCCTGCACCTGAAGCATCTGAACCTGCGCCAGCAGCCCCTGAATCTGAACCTGCACCAGCAGAACCTGAGCCTGCTCCTAAAGCACCTGAGCCAGTGCCTGCAGCCCCTGCAGCCCCTGAGCCTGCTCCAGAGGCCACACCGGTATCATCTGAGCCTGCACCAGCAGCACCTGAACCAACGCCTGCTGCACCTATAACAGCACCTACACCGATTCCTGAACCAGCAGCCGTCACGGCGGCACCACCTGCAGTGGAAGAGAAACAACCAGAATCAGAGGCCAAGATTGCAGTCACAGAAAGCAGCAGCAGCAGTGCAGAATATGCAAGGGAAGGGGCTGGGGGTGGTGCAGAGAAGCAGGGTTCTGCTGGCACGGCAGCGGCAGTGGCTGCTGCTGGGTCATCATCGTCTGGGGGGGTTGCGGAAGAAACGAAGGCTGTGGTTTCAGAAACGAGGTCGAGCTCAGGAAGTGAGGCTGGGAAGCCAGTGGAGGAGGATAAGGATCAGAACGGTGTGCAGGGAGAGAAACCAGTCGCCACCTGCCAGGTACGACTAAAAGAAATTGGTCTTTATGTAATATTTTCCGCGCCAATCCCTCCCAATGCATGTGATAATGTGTGCAACCCACCATCCTGTACGTTTTGCTGCTTTGCTGCTCCGCTTTCTTTTGGCTCCTGCTGTTGGCAAAAGGCACTAACATCTGAACCCACTACGCATCTTTGTCAAATCCCGCATTGCACGATTGACTTCCTGACTTGTGCGGCAAAATTGCGTTCATATACTACAGGAGCCAATTGAGATCATTGAGCCGAAGCCACTACCTAACTGCTCTGCACTTATCTGCTGGATCTTTGGCTGGACTGTGTAAATTGTGATTACGTGTAATCACTTGGCAAATCAGCAGCTGGATGCAGCACATTTGGTAACCTGCAGTTCGTGAGCTTTTCTAATTAGCTGTTGATAGAACGAGCCTGACTGTTATGGATTCTGGTAAATTTGGCCCTTTTTAACCGTTGCATGCTTTCAGTTATCATTTTCACACCTTCCATCAGATCCTAGTGACTATGTTCTTCATTAGGTCTTCATTGCACAAAGTTTTTGGAGAACAGAGCATTTCTACACGAGTTATGCAGTGACGATCGGACGTATGTTGTGCACTGTAGTCTTCCATTATGGATATGCTTCTTGAGCAGGGCTGTCGATTCAAGGGCATTTGCCCTTAATGCCCTGAACATTCCGGGTGAACTCCAGGCCAGCTTCGGCATTTCAAAGGGCTGGTTTCGAGGGGAGCCCGTTTTTCTTACGGGCTGATTTCGAGAAATTGGGGTATCAACCCGGATAGTCAAGGGCTGGTTTGGGGCCCTTCCCTGAGATCCCGGATAAGTAGTACAAGTAACCTTGCGAGTTTCCTAAGTTGACACTCTTCTCCTCCCGTGCCCTTATCCCTGTCGCTCCCACATTCTATCTTCTTGGTATGAAAGGAGGTTCTAGGGTTGATGTTTATGGCTGTGGTTGCAAAATATTTCTGAGACATTGTTCACCCCTCACAATTCGAAGTACTCACGCTGGAATCAAGACACTGACACCCTTACATGGTGAGGTGGGATTCAGCCCCATCGGTTCACACTAGGAATACTACATGAGAACGAACTTCCTTGGAAGTGCTTTGCAATTGTCCACAAGAGTTCAAACGACTTCTTTGCTGACGATATTTGCCCTACGAGCCCCCCCACCCCTCCCCCACCCCTCTTCCCCCCTTGATGTAGGTTCGCAGATAGTCGTTAGCAAGCTCCTTTCCGCTGACATCCCCCTTTGTGAAATTAGGGCACACGCACATTTTTTAAAGAAGCCCGGATTTCAAGTTTTGGTTTGGACCTGCACCCGTGATCGTTAAGGGCTAAAAAACGGTCACCTTCGCGAAAATCAGGGCCAAACTTCGAGCAGCTCAGGACTCAAAGTGTTGGCCCCAGGAACTTCGACAGGCCTGTTCTTGAGTCGTCAGAGTCGCTACGGGGATGGTTTAGTCCCCCACTCGATGCCACGAAGCGCAATCGAGGCCTTGTGTGAGTTCGTGTCCGTAGGGTTGACATGTCAAGTGAGAGCGCGTGAATCCGAAGCGCATTCAAATTAGAGTGTCAAGCACTGTAGTGGAAGTGTCAAGTCAAAGCGCAGGTACGAACATCAGCGACGCAATTTCATTGGTTTGAGAATTTGTCATGGACAGATCTGCTAGGCAACGAACAAATCAAAAGACATATTGTGTGATGATTGGGCAGCATCTGGTCGTGAGATAGGTACCTGCGACAATCTTCTCTCGTTTGTAGGTTTGTCTGTGCCAATTTCAAAAGTGTCCGACGATTTGTATTGGCTGGCAACCTGCAATTTCTTGACACTCTGCCAACAATGTTGGCAGAGTGTCAAAATGCCAAGTTGACACTGGCCACTTTGACATGTCATCCCTACGGACACGACCTGAAAACTCGAGTCTTGACGTGCCCGCCAAGCCAAACTGCCTCTTTCAGGGGGTACCAGCTCGTATGTTTGTCGTGTACGGTGCAAAACTATGAAGCAGAGTATCCGCTTTCCACCGTATGAAACCCCCATAATGGCACCATCGATCCTGCTTTTATGCTATTTTTGGAGGTTGAATCAACGAATCAACCTGTAAGGGGGTAACCAGACATACCGCGGGTTGACCAGACATCCTGCACAACACGCCCTAAGCTAGTAAGGCGAGTTCTGCTCTGCGATAATGCAGAAAGCCAACTTCAAGTGTCCTGTGCTGTATGGATTGTGAGATGCACCAAGCCCGTGACATTTCAATCAGGCATAACCTTGGGATAGGAATGTATGAGTCAGGGTTCGCGGCGCGGCGGAGTTTCCAATGACATGACAAGTCCACCTAGAGGTTATTTCGCAGGCATTGCCAGCAGCAGCCCAGAATCTCGTGGAGCGTTAGTGGCGAAACAGTTGGCATGCTGCCATGTTATTGGCAGCTCGCCAAGCGAAGCTCGTTAGCCTCGATATTTCCAGCCCCATATGTCACAACAGCCACGCCTTGACAGCGATACGCCCACATAGCTGCATGGAGGAATTGGCCGTCTCGGACCGTTGGTTTTATATAATAGCCACGTGTCGTTCGACCAGCGCGTGTCAGAGCTGCATGAGAAACGCACATCTCGTCCTGGCTTTCGCGACAACCACAATCTAGGTCCTCCTTCCATCCGTTTTGTTCGTCGTATTACTCGCTCAGCACTGAACGTCTGTGCTGTAACAACATTTCGTCGTTACCGACAGAAAAACCTTCGCGAATATTCCCGAACGAAAGCTACCGTACAGATTCCCCACCACCACCCCCACCACCGCTGCTACCTCCACTAAAATTCTGATCATAAATTGCCAGCATGCCGTGGTTCGGAGGGAAAAAAGCAGCCAAGCCTCCGCCGCCGCCGCCTCCGGACGGACTGCTGCAGATCAGCGATCGCGTGTTCGGTGAGTATTAGGGTTACTTCAGGTAACTACTCGCGCGAGCTTTCGCGTGGCAGCTGTCCTTGGAATTTCGCTGCTGAGGTTTGGTAGTAGGATGCAAGGTTTCCTGTTCAACGGTCGCGATGAGCGATACATATTAGCCGTCTGCTTCCTTTCCCCCACTCCTCTTCCCTTACTTCCTTCTCGCCTCGCTTTGCATCCTCACTCGTCTCGTGGAGTATTCGACTCCGGATGTCTAGCCGCGTACCTACATATTACCTTGTTTCTCATATTTCCTCCTTTGCTTCTAGACCCAACTTCCCGTTTTCAGTTCAAACCACCCTCCACTTCCCCCTCCTACTTTTCCCTCGGACCTTCGTCTTAGGTAGTTCGTGAGTTCAATCAGGCATCACTCCAATCCTTTTTTTCCAGTCGATTCATAAGTCACCCCGGTCCCTGTTTTTTAGTCAACTCAAAGGCACTACGCTGTCTCTCCCCTCTTCCTTGCCCGTCTGTCTATCCCTTCCTCTGCGTCCTCTACAGCTCTCTTCCTTCCTCCTTTTTTCCCTTCCAGCAGTCTTGACTCTTCTATCTCTCCATCCCTTCACTCCCGCCTCCTTGCTTCCTTATTTCCTCCCTTCTTTCCTCCCCCCTCTGGCCTCCCACATCTCGTTCCTTCGGTCTCTGATCCCTCCTCCTACCCCTTCTCCCTTCCGCTGACCTCTTCAACCCCTTTTCCCTTTGTTCCCTGATCCCTCCCTCCCCTGCTCCCAATCCCCCTCCCCCTCTCCGCAACCCCCACCCTGCTTCCCCCCCCAGTGTTTGATTCCTGCATTGCCAACGACGTGCCCACCACAGCCACCTACCGCCTTTACTTTCGCCAGATCTGCACAGATCTCCGCAATCATATCTCCAACGCATCCATCCTCATCTGCAATTTCCGCGACGGCAGCAGCGGCTCCAGCCGAACGCTCTTCGCCGGATCTTATTTTCTAGATTCTGATGCCACAGTTCTTGAGTACCCCAGACATTTCGAGGGCTGCCCGATTCTTTCTCTTGACCTAATCGACCATTTTCTCCAGTCCACCAATAGCTGGCTCCAGCAGGAATTTGACCTGCCCGGTCGCAAGCCAAATCTGGCAAAAACGTTATTGGAGGAGGCTGATGGGGGGACACCAGCAAAGCAGCAGCAGCAGCAGCAATTAGGGTTGGCTTCACCGGGCGGCAACGGGCGGCGGAAAAACATCGTTCTCTTGCACTGCGAGCGAGGCGGGTGGCCTCTCTTGGCGTTTATGATCGCCTCGTTCTTAGTGTTCCACAAGGAATGGAACGGAGAGGAGGAGCGAGATCTCTTACAGGGCATCTACAAAGCGGCTCCTAGGGGCTTCCTACAGCTGCATTACCCCTTAAACCCTGTCCCTTCCCAGGCGAGGTACCTTCAGTACATAGCCCACTGCGTCAGCTCTTTACCCCACGGGTTTATTGAGAGGGAAAGCAAGGACAAGAAGGGGAAGGGGAAGGGAAAAGGGGTGGCGGAGGAGGAGGGCAGCGAGTGGGGGAGCCAGGTGCTGGTTCCGTCTTCTAGAGAGGGGTGTCTGGGAGCGAGCAGCAGCCGGATGGTGACTCTAGACTGTGTGATTATGCGCGGTGTGCCACAGCTGGACGCTAGAGGCGGGTGCTGCCCTGTGATCAGAGTGTTTGGGCGCGATCCTGGCCTGCCGGAGAACCGAGACTCGGGGCTGCTGTTTCTGAGCGCGAGGCATGGCGTGAATCGAGCCAAGTACTACCTGCAGGTGAGGCAAGGGGTAAAGAGATCTGCTGAGTGCTACCTGCAGGTGAGGCAAGGGGTAAAGAGATCTGCTGAGTGCTACCTGCAGGTGAGGCAAGGGGTAAAGAGATCTGCTGAGTGCTACCTGCAGGTGAGGCAAGGGGTAAAGAGATCTGCTGAGTGCTACCTGCAGGTGAGGCAAGGGGTAAAGAGATCTGCTGAGTGCTACCTGCAGGTGAGGCAAGGGGTAAAGAGATCTGCTGAGTGCAAGGGCTCACACGTCCCTGCCCTCCCTTGCCCTTTTCACGTGTAGAAAGAGTAGTTTTGAGACGTCTCAAACTACTCTTTTTACAAGTGTGTGCATGTGGGTGGGTCGGCTCACACGTCCCCGCCCTCCCTAGTCCTTTCTCCCACTTTTGGCGGCCAGAGCGAAGGGGGATAGTGAAGATGGATGCGATGGCAGTGGTACAGGGCGACGTGGTGATGGAGTGCGTGCATTTGGCTGCTAGACTAGACTAGACCCACACCTCCTTTCTTTCCCATTCCCCCCCCCCCCCTCCCCTCCGCCTCCCTGCCCTCCTACAACAAGTAAAGGGAAGCGGAGGTGGTGAAGATGGATATGACGGCGGTGGTGCAGGGCAGGGCGATGTGGTGATCGAGTGTGTGCATGTGGGTCAACTCACAAGTTCCCCGCACACACCACCTCCCTCCCCACCCACCCTGCCCCCCTTGCGCTCCCCCTTCCAAACAGCCAGAGGGAGGGAAGCGGAGGTGGTGAAGATGGATGTGACGGCGGTGGTGCAGGCCGATGTGATGATCGAGTGCGTGCATGTGGACATGGAGTGGGGAGGCGCCGAGCAGATGGTCGACTCGACCGAATGGACCCCCTCCTCAACCGCTCCCCTCCTCACCTGCTCCCCTCCCCTTTTTTCCCTTTTTTACAACCAGAGGGAAGCGGAGGTGGTGAAGATGGATGTGATGGCAGTGGTGCAGGGGGACGTGGTGATAGAGTGCGTGCATGTGGACAGCTTGACTCAAACGCCCCTTCCTTTCCAAACCTCCTTTCCCGTTCTCTCGCACACCCCAACAACCAGAGAGAGGCGGAGGTGGTGAAGATGGATGTGATGGCGGTGGTGCAGGGGGACGTGGTGATAGAGTGTGTGCATGTGGACATGGAGGGCGCGGGCAGCGAGCAGATGGTGTGGCGAGTGGCGTTCAACACGGCCCACGTGCGATCCAACATGCTCGTGCTCTCGCGGGACGATCTCGATATTCTCTGGCACACAAGGGAGCGGTTCACGCAGGACTTCAGAGTGGAGGTGAGTTCTTGTGTAGGGTTGATATATGAGATTCCTGTTATTAGATTTCTGTTAGGGTTGGGGTGGGTGCAGTGCGGTGGCGCACAAGACATCAGAGAGTGGAGATGAGGTTTGAGGCAAATGGTAGTGAGCAGATGGCGTGGCGAGTGAGTGACTGGCGATCAACACGGCCCGTGTGCGATCTAACATGCTCGTGCTCTCCCGGGACGATCTCGATATCCTCTGGCACACACGAGAGCGCTTCACACAGGACTTCAGAGTGGAGGTGAGGTGTGGCATTAGCCTGAGTTGAGGTGAGGTGAACGTTCTTCAGGGGTTGCGGTGCGGGATGCTCCAAAAATCACTTTTGTCAGCATTTCTAGGCACGCCATTTCCCTTTAGCATGTGCATTTAATGCTGCTGGTGCCCCTGCCCCACCCTCCAGATTCTTCTGATTTCCCTCTCTGACCCGCGTTCGGTGTTGTCCTTGCCCTACCCACTCACCCTCCAGATCCTTCTGACGGACCGGGAGTCCAAGGTACTGCCTCCACCAGCCGCCACCTCCCTGGCAGCAGACGACTTCGGCGGTCTACCCCTCGATTCCTTCCTCAAGCTCAAGGAGGCTTTTGAGGATTCCAATTGGTCGCAGGACGACAGCTCACGCGCCCTAGAAGAGATCCGCCACACCATCTACTCCGCAGCCAGTACCAAGAGGAGAAACCGCCGGAGTGGAGGGTTGCGGGTTCGAACCCGGGTGCCGGCAGGTGGGAAGTGGGGCCCAGGAGGGGCGGGGTTTGCAGGGGATATGCTAGATGATAGCGATTATGCTTCGGATTTGGATTCAGCTGATACTTCTCCGACGTTTTCGAGCATGTTGCATTCAAGGGATGGGAGCCCGTCGCCATCTCGGCCGTTTGGGAGTGGTTTAGGGTTTGGGATGTTTGGGTTTCCGGGCGGGAAGGTGCGGAGGAAGGTTGGGTCGGAGATGGTGTTGCCGCCTGGGTTGTTGTTTGCGGAGCAGACTTATACGGAGGAGGAGGGGCTGACGAGGAGAGAGAGGGCGAGTGCGGGGGATTTGAAGATGCTTTGGTTGGATTTAGCGAATGGGCCGTCGCTGTATTGGAATGAGTGGGATCCGGAGCTGAATCCTGTTCTGGGGAAGCTTTTAAGGAGGATGTCGAAACGGGTGCCGGGGTTTAAGTTGCCCGAGATGGGTTTGCTGGGGCAGAAGGGACTGGAGAAGGGGGAGGATGAGAAGAAGGAAGAGGAGAAGGAGGAAAAGAAGGAGGAGAAGGAGGAGGAGAAGGAAGAGGAGAAGGAGGAGAAAAAGGAGGAGAAGAAGGAGAAGAAGGAGGAGGAGAAGGAAGAGGAGGATGAGGAGGAAAAGGCGGCTGCTGCAGCTGCTGCTGCTGCTGAGGCTGCAGCAGAGAGGAAGAAACAGGAGAAGCTGAGGAAGGCTGAAGAGAGGCGGATGGAGGCTGAGAGGAGGAGGTTAGAGGAGGAGGAAGAGGAGAGGAGGGAGGAGGAGAGGTGGAAGGAGGAGCAGAGGAGGAGGCAGGAGGAGAGGGCAGCTAGAAAGGCAGCATTAGCTGCAAAGATGGCTGAGCCAGATCCGCCCAGTCCCAAAGTAGCCCCCCCGCCCCCGCCTCCTCCCCCAGGGGGGGGACCTCCCCCTCCTCCTCCGCCTCCCCCTCCCCCACCCCCTCCCCCAGGCGGAGGCGCTCCTCCCCCTCCCCCCTCCACCCCCTCCCCCACCCCCTCCCCCAGGTGGGGGTCCTCCCCCGCCCCCTCCCCCGCCTCCTCCCCCACCCCCTCCCCCAGGAGGGGGTCCTCCCCCGCCCCCTCCCCCGCCTCCTCCCCCGCCCCCTCCTCCAGGGGGTGCCCCTCCTCCTCCTCCCCCTCCTCCCCTTCCGCCAGGGGGGCGGGCCCCCCCGCCTCCTCCGCCCCCTCCACCTCCTCCCCCAGGTGGGGGACCTCCCCCTCCCCCTCCACCTCCCCCTCCCCCTGGCGGGGGCCCTCCCCCACCTCCCCCCCCACCTCCTCCCCCAGGTGGTGGCCCTCCCCCTCCTCCCCCCCCACCCCCTCCCCCAGGCGGGGGCCCTCCCCCGCCTCCCCCTCCCCCTGGCGGGCCCAGAGGACCTCCCCCTCCCCCTCCCCCTCCTGGCGGGCCCAGAGGCCCCCCACCCCCTCCCCCTCCCCCTGGGGGGGGAAAGGGTCCCCCCCCGCCCCCCCCTCCCCCAGGGGGCAAGGGCGGACCACCTCCCCCTCCCCCGCCCCCAGGGGGAAAAGGCCCTCCAGGCCCTCCCCCTCCCCCCGGATTGAAGGGCCCCCCTCCTCCCCCCGGGTTCAAGGGGAAGGGTCCCCCTCCCCCCCCCGGGTTCAAGGGGAAGGGTCCACCGGGGCCCCCTCCCCCCGGGGGGTTCAAGGGGGGGTTTGCAGCTGCTGCGCCCCCCCCCAAGAAGAAGACCCCCCTGAAGGCGTTTTTCTGGGGGAAGGTGACGCGAGTGGTGGAGGGGAACATGTGGGCGGAGGTGCAGAAGGAGGAGCAGGTCGCTGCTACCCCCAAGTGAGTGCTTCCCTCCTCTCTCTTCCCTCCTCTCTCTTTCCTCCTCTCTCTTTCCTCCTCTCACTCTCCTCCTCTTTCTTGAGACGTCTCAAAGGAAGGTGATTCGAGTGGTGGAGGGGAGGGGAACATGTGGGCTGAAGTGCAGAAGGAGGAGCAGTTCGCTGCCACCCCCAATTGCGTACCTCCCTCCTCTCTCTTTCTGCATCTCTTTCCTTCTCTACTGCCTCCTGGTTCTTTCCTCGCTTCTTTCCTCCTCTCTGTTCCTTTGTTATTCGTCTCATCCGTTCCGTCCCCACCCCCACCCCCCGTCCCCACCCCCACCCCCCGTCCCCACCCCCACCCCCCGTCCCCCCCCCCACCCCCCGTCTCCACTTTCCCCATCCTCCTTGTTGACGCGATTCTTCCATATGTTGCACCTTACCGCACTGCACCTTACCGCACTGCACCTTACTGCACTGCACCTTACCGCACTGCACCGTACTGCACCTTATCATGCTTCTGTAACCCTCCATGACCATTCGGCTCACGCACCTTGTTCCACCCCCTGCTCTCATCAAAACACCATTTTCCTGCATCCGGGCGGTCTGTCTCCCTTGTTTGCATGTGGGCGGCGTTCTTTGTCTGCATGTGGTGCAGGCTGGACCTGGAGGCGCTATACCCAGAGCTGGAGGATCTGTTTTCTGCCGCCCCTCCCCCCAAGAAGAAAGACACCGGGCCCAAGAAGGAGGCCAAGCCGCAAGCACTCTCTCTTGTGAGTTGCCTCGTGCCTCGTGTCTGTTTTCTGCCTCGTGCCTCTCCCAATGCCTTGTGCCTCCTCGTTCCTCATGCTCCCTGTGCCTCGTGCCTCGTGTCCCGTAAGCACCCTATTCTTGTGCCTCCTTGTGTGCTCGTCTTCTCTGCTGTGTGCTTCAGTTCAAACCCACTTGAAGGGTGCGGTCGACAGTCCTTTCTTTTCTAGTCAACACAACTTCTTCGTTGCAGCTCTTGTTCATACGCCTTTCTGGTTGTAGTTCAGCTTTTTGAGGCGCCTCAAAAGACGCCTTTCTGGTTGTAGTTCAGCTTTTTGAGGCGCCTCAAAAGACGCCTTTCTGGTTGTAGTTCAGATCGATTGACGTCAAGCGTGCCAACAGCTTAGGGTTGAGCAAAAAAACGAACACCTGTTCGGTTCGCCTCGAACGTGTTCGAGGCGAACCGAACAGGTATTTTTTTTTGGCTTGAAATGTTCGCCGAACAGTGTTCGATGTTCGCCCGAACACGTTCGTGTTCGGGCCGCTGCTGCAATTTGCCCGCGACGAACACGAACAGTGTTCGAGGTTCGCCCGAACACGCCTTCACAGGCGAACGGCGAACACCATTTTTTGCTCAAAGTGTTCGCCGAACCGAACACTGTTCGGTTCGGCAAACGAAGGTGTTCGTGTAGGGGCGAACACGAACACGTTCCTGTTCGCCACTTGCTCATCCCTACAACAGCTGGTGTTTTACAAGCCGACTCATTACGCTTTCCCCGATTCCTTTTCCTTTTCGGTTGCGTCTCAGATTGATATGAAGCGAGCCAACAATTGTATGATTATGCTTTCCAACATGAAGCACCTCAAATACAATGAGATTGTGGTGAGTTCCAGTGCGGTGCGGTGCGGTAGGGAGCTGTGTAGAAGGGTTGAAACGAATTCTGGCAAGTTGAGTTTCTGGGATTATGCTTTCCAATATGAAGCACCTGAAATACACTGAGATTGTGGTGAGTTGAGTTGAAGCTGCTCAACCCTTGTGCCGCAGCTCAGGTCAGATGCTCCCTCTCCTCTCCTCACCTTTCGATAATAAGTTGTTTTCGAGACGTCTCAAAAGCAACTTATTATCACCTCAAATACTCGGAGATTGTGGTGAGTTGAGTTGAAGACGCTCAACCCAACCCTTGTGCCGCAGCTCAGATCAGACACTCCCCCTCCTCACCATTCAGTCAGCCTCTCTGTCAGTCTCGTCTCGTGCTGCAATCTCCACTTGTTTCCCGATCTTCTTCTCGACAGCTCATTCTCTCTGTTTTGATTCGTTCTAATCCGTGTCTCCAATCGTGGAAGCGACTTTTCAATCCACCTTATAATCCCCGCAGGACGCCATTCTAGCGCTGGACAGCAAGGTGCGGGACGCGGAGAAGGTGGACGCTCTGCTGAAGCCGTCTGCTCAAACAGCGCTCACTCACTCTCGTGCCTTCCTCTCCCTCCACCCCTCTCCTCAGGACGCCATTCTAGCGCTGGACAGCAAGGTGCTGGACGCGGAGAAGGTGGACGCTCTGCTGAAGCCGTCTGCTCAAACAGCGCTCACTCACTCTCGTGCCTTCCTCTCCCTCCACCCCTCTCCTCAGGACGCCATTCTAGCGCTGGACAGCAAGGTGCTGGACGCGGAGAAGGTGGACGCTCTGCTCAAGTTCTGCCCCGCCAAGGAAGAAGCGGAGATGCTCAAGGTGTGTCTGTGTGTGATGGTGGAAGTGAGTTTGATGTATGAGCCAGTTGTGCTTCAGTAAACAAGGACGACTGGAGAATGAGGGCGTGGGGGCATGAGGGCATGGAGGTGTGGCCACCCACACCTCCATGCCCAAATTGCACAGTGCTGACTAGGGCCTCTGGCTCGGACCAGCTCCGAACAGGTGCTGATGGGGAGAAGGTGGATGCTCTGCTCAAGTTCTGCCCCGCCAAGGAAGAAGCGGAGATGCTCAAGGTGCGTGGCAGCTGGGTGGGGAGGGAAGGAAAGGTATGATGGTGGTAGTGAGTTGGACGGGTGAGGCAAGCTTGAGGTCGTTTCTGAGGCGCCTCAAGAAACGACCTTGATGGTGGTAGTGAGTTGGACGGGTGAGGCAAGCTGGTTGCGAGGCAGTTCTTTCTGGAGCTGTTGCGTGCGTGCAATCTGCTTCTCCTTCCTCTGTCTCCTTCCCTTTGTCCTCTTTTATCCCCTCCTGTCCCCCCTATCCCCTCCTCCCTTACAGGGCTGTCTGTGGCATGCCTCCAAAGAAGCTGGGCAAGTGCGAGCAATTCTTTCTTAAGATGCTAAGAGCGTAACTATCTGCCTCTCCTTCCTATCTCCCCTTCCCATTGTGCCCTCCTATCCCCTGCTATTCCTCCCATCCTCGCCTCTCAGGGCTGTGGCATGCCTCCGGAGAAGCTGGGCAAGTGCGAGCAGTTCATCCTGGAGATGCTGCGAGCGTCGTAATTTCTCTCCTTCCCTCCCACTTCCCTTCCCTTTACCCTCTATTATCCCCTCCTGCCCTCATCCCGCTCCGCAGGGCTGTGGCATGCCCCCGGAGAAGCTGGGCAAGTGCGAGCAGTTCTTTCTGGAGATGCTGCGAGCGTCATAACTTCCTTTCCTTTCCCTCTACTTCCTTTCATATCCACTGCTATTCCTCCCATCCCCATCTCCCAGGGCTGTGGCATGCCTCCGGAGAAGCTGGGCAAGTGCGATCAATTCTTCCTGGAGATGCTGCGAGCGTCGTAATTTCTCTCCTTCCCTCCCACTTCCCTTCCCTTTACCCTCTATGATCCCCTCCTGCCCTCATCCCGCTCCGCAGGGCTGTGGCATGCCTCCGGAGAAGCTGGGCAAGTGCGAGCAGTTCTTTATCTGTCTCTCCTTCCTCTCTCCCCTTCCCATTGTGCCCTCCTATCCACTGCTATTCCTCCCATCCCCATCCCCCAGGGCTGTGGCATGCCGCCGGAGAAGCTGGGCAAGTGCGAGCAGTTCTTCCTGGAGATGCTGCGAGCGCCGCGTATCGAAGCCAAGTTGAAGATCTTTGAGTTCAAGCTGTCGTACGACCAGCAGGTGAATGCCCATGCCCATGCCCATGCCCATGCCATGCCATGCGTGTGGCCAGTGTTGTATGGAAGAAAAGCTGCGGATATTTGTGCTCAAGCTGTCGTACGACCAGCAGGTGAGGGCCATGCCATGCCAAGCCAAGCCAAGCCAAGCCATGCCATGCCATGTGTGTGGCCAGTGGTGTATGGAAGCCAAGCTGCGGATCTTTGAGTTCAAGTTGCCGTATGACCAGCAGGTGAGGGGAGTGCCACGTGGCATTTGCTTCATGCGTGTCTCATCACGTGCGTCGGTTGAGGGCTTGCTGGCAAGTGGTAAAGAGACAGGCAGCACAAGTGTTCCAGCAGCAGGCTTCAGAAGTGCTGGTAAAGTATGGTGGGGTTTGGCTTGGCTAGGGCTCGGCTCGTCACACAAGGCAACAACCAAAGCACACCGTTGGGGCGCCTCGAAAGCTGTCTCTCTACCTGCATTTTCAATATCGGCTTGCCGCAAGGCAAAATCAAAACGACATCACCACTTCTGAATCCTGTCTGTCTTCCGGTTTGCATCCAGACCACAGGTTTGCGTTCACAATGTGTTCTTTTCTTTTCTTTTCTTTTCTTTTCTTTCATTCTTTTCCTGGGCGCCGTTCTGTTGGCTACTTTTCTCATGAGTGATCTAAGTATACCCACCACCTGCAGGTCAAGGTCGTGCAGCGTGATTGTTCAGTTGACTAAAAACAGTACACCCCCGGATGAATAACACCCCCGAACTGCCTCATCACACGCGGATTCGACTGTGCCCCCTACACTACCCACCTGCTGGTCAAGGACGTGCAATGTAATTGTTGAGTTGACTAACAGTACACCCCCGAACTGCTTCATCACACGCGAATTCCATCATTCCACTGTGCCCCCTACCTACCCACCTGCAGGTCAAGGACGTGCAGCGCAATCTGGATCTGGTCCACAATGCGTGTAAGGAGGTGAGTGTGACTGTAAGGAGGTGTGTGCGACTGTAAGGAGGTGAGTGTGCCCCTAAGAGGTGAGTGTGACTCTAGGGGGGTGAGTGGGTGTGACGGACTGTGAGGAGGTGAGAGTGTGACAGTGACATAACCTTGAGTTGATGAGTGTGAAAGTGAATTTAAGGAGATGAGGTGCGCGCTTCCCCCTCTTCCCTCACTCCCCCCCCCCCTCTTCCCTCACTTCCCCCTCTTCCCTCGCTTCCCGCTCTCCCTCGCTTCCTCTTCCCTCCCCCTCTTCCCTCGCCTCCCCCCACTTCTCCCGCTTCTCCCTCTTTCCTCGCTTTTCCCTCCTCGCCTCCCCTTCTGCCCTCTCTTTTCTTGCCTCCCCTCGTCTCTCTCAACCCCACTCTACGATCCACTCCCTTCATCCCCGTCTTCCCTCACTCCCCCTCTCTCTTCCCTAAGGCACCACGCCAGGTGCAGGATTCCAAGAGGCTGAGGCGCATCATGCAGACCATTCTGTCCCTGGGGAACGCGCTCAACCAGGGCACTGCTAGGGGCTCTGCTGTGGGGTTCAAGCTTTCACCCACCACTCCCTCTCTCCTCTCTTCCCTGTCGCCGCTGTTCCCTATGGCACCACACCAGGTGCGGGATTTCAAGAGGCTGAGGCGCATCATGCAGACCATTCTATTTCTGGGGAATGCGCTCAACGCAATCAGGGCACCGCCAGCCACTGGCTCTGCCGGCCGTGGGGTTCAACCTCCTTTTGAGTCGACTCAAATGCCGGCCGTGGGGTTCAACCTCCTTTTGAGTCGACTCAAATGCCGGCCGTGGGGTTCAACCTCCTTTTGAGTCGGCTCAAATGCCGGCCGTGGGGTTCAACCTCCTTTTGAGTCGACTCAAATGCCGGCCGTGGGGTTCAACCTCCTTTTGAGTCGACTCAAATGCCGGCCGTGGGGTTCAACCTCCTTTTGAGTCGACTCAAATGCCGGCCGTGGGGTTCAACCTCCTTTTGAGTCGACTCAAATGCCGGCCGTGGGGTTCAACCTCCTTTTGAGTCGACTCAAATGCCGGCCGTGGGGTTCAACCTCCTTTTGAGTCGACTCAAATGCCGGCCGTGGGGTTCAACCTCCTTTTGAGTCGACTCAAATGCCGGCCGTGGGGTTCAACCTCCTTTTGAGTCGACTCAAATGCCGGCCGTGGGGTTCAACCTCCTTTTGAGTCGACTCAAATGCCGGCCGTGGGGTCAACCTCCTTTTGAGTCGACTCAAATGCCGGCCGTGGGGTTCAACCTCCTTTTGAGTCGACTCAAATGCCGGCCGTGGGGTTCAACCTCCTTTTGAGTCGACTCAAATGCCGGCCGTGGGGTTCAACCTCCTTTTGAGTCGACTCAAATGCCGGCCGTGGGGTTCAACCTCCTTTTGAGTCGACTCAAATGCCGGCCGTGGGGTTCAACCTCCTTTTGAGTCGACTCAAATGCCGGCCGTGGGGTTCAACCTCCTTTTGAGTCGACTCAAATGCCCGCCGTGGGGTTCAACCTCCTTTTGAGTCGGCTCAAATGCCGGCCGTGGGGTTCAACCTCCTTTTGAGTCGACTCAAATGCCGGCCGTGGGGTTCAACCTCCTTTTGAGTCGACTCAAATGCCGGCCGTGGGGTTCAACCTCCTTTTGAGTCGACTCAAATGTCGGCCGTGGGGTTCAACCTCCTTTTGAGTCGACTCAAATGCCGGCCGTGGGGTTCAACCTCCTTTTGAGTCGACTCAAATGCCGGCCGTGGGGTTCAACCTCCTTTTGAGTCGACTCAAATGCCGGCCGTGGGGTTCAACCTCCTTTTGAGTCGACTCAAATGCCGGCCGTGGGGTTCAACCTCCTTTTGAGTCGGCTCAAATGCCGGCCGTGGGGTTCAACCTCCTTTTGAGTCTACTCAAATGCCGGCCGTGGGGTTCAACCTCCTCTTGAGTCGACTCAAATGCCGGCCGTGGGGTTCAACCTCCTTTTGAGTCGACTCAAATGCCGGCCGTGGGGTTCAACCTCCTTTTGAGTCGACTCAAATGCCGGCCGTGGGGTTCAACCTCCTTTTGAGTCGGCTCAAATGCCGGCCGTGGGGTTCAACCTCCTTTTGAGTCGACTCAAATGCCGGCCGTGGGGTTCAACCTCCTTTTGAGTCGACTTAAATGCCGGCCGTGGGGTTCAACCTCCTTTTGAGTCGACTCAAATGCCGGCCGTGGGGTTCAACCTCCTTTTGAGTCGGCTCAAATGCCGGCCGTGGGGTTCAACCTCATTTTGAGTCGACTCAAATGCCGGCCGTGGGGTTCAACCTCCATTTGAGTCGACTCAAATGCCGGCCGTGGGGTTCAACCTCCTTTTGAGTCGACTCAAATGCCGGCCGTGGGGTTCAACCTCCTTTTGAGTCGACTCAAATGCCGGCCGTGGGGTTCAACCTCCTTTTGAGTCGACTCAAATGCCGGCCGTGGGGTTCAACCTCCTTTTGAGTCGACTCAAATGCCGGCCGTGGGGTTCAACCTCCTGTTGAGTCGACTCAAATGCCGGCCGTGGGGTTCAACCTCCTTTTATGTCGACTCAAATGCCGGCCGTGGGGTTCAACCTCCTTTTGAGTCGACTCAAATGCCGGCCGTGGGGTTCAACCTCCTTTTGAGTCGACTCAAATGCCGGCCGTGGGGTTCAACCTCCTTTTGAGTCGGCTCAAATGCCGGCCGTGGGGTTCAACCTCCTTTTGAGTCGACTCAAATGCCGGCCGTGGGGTTCAACCTCCTTTTGAGTCGGCTCAAATGCCGGCCGTGGGGTTCAACCTCCTTTTGAGTCGACTCAAATGCCGGCCGTGGGGTTCAACCTCCTTTTGAGTCGACTCAAATGCCGGCCGTGGGGTTCAACCTCCTTTTGAGTCGACTCAAATGCCGGCCGTGGGGTTCAACCTCCTTTTGAGTCGACTCAAATGCCGGCCGTGGGGTTCAACCTCCTTTTGAGTCGACTCAAATGCCGGCCGTGGGGTTCAACCTCCTTTTGAGTCGACTCAAATGCCGGCCGTGGGGTTCAACCTCCTTTTGAGTCGGCTCAAATGCCGGCCGTGGGGTTCAACCTCCTTTTGAGTCGACTCAAATGCCGGCCGTGGGGTTCAACCTCCTTTTGAGTCGACTCAAATGCCGGCCGTGGGGTTCAACCTCCTTTTGAGTCGACTCAAATGCCGGCCGTGGGGTTCAACCTCCTTTTGAGTCGACTCAAATGCCGGCCGTGGGGTTCAACCTCCTTTTGAGTCGACTCAAATGCCGGCCGTGGGGTTCAACCTCCTTTTGAGTCGACTCAAATGCCGGCCGTGGGGTTCAACCTCCTTTTGAGTCGACTCAAATGCCGGCCGTGGGGTTCAACCTCCTTTTGAGTCGGCTCAAATGCCGGCCGTGGGGTTCAACCTCCTTTTGAGTCGACTCAAATGCCGGCCGTGGGGTTCAACCTCCTTTTGAGTCGACTCAAATGCCGGCCGTGGGGTTCAACCTCCTTTTGAGTCGACTCAAATGCCGGCCGTGGGGTTCAACCTCCTTTTGAGTCGACTCAAATGCCGGCCGTGGGGTTCAACCTCCTTTTGAGTCGACTCAAATGCCGGCCGTGGGGTTCAACCTCCTTTTGAGTCGACTCAAATGCCGGCCGTGGGGTTCAACCTCCTTTTGAGTCGACTCAAATGCCGGCCGTGGGGTTCAACCTCCTTTTGAGTCGACTCAAATGCCGGCCGTGGGGTCAACCTCCTTTTGAGTCGACTCAAATGCCGGCCGTGGGGTTCAACCTCCTTTTGAGTCGACTCAAATGCCGGCCGTGGGGTTCAACCTCCTTTTGAGTCGACTCAAATGCCGGCCGTGGGGTTCAACCTCCTTTTGAGTCGACTCAAATGCCGGCCGTGGGGTTCAACCTCCTTTTGAGTCGACTCAAATGCCGGCCGTGGGGTTCAACCTCCTTTTGAGTCGACTCAAATGCCGGCCGTGGGGTTCAACCTCCTTTTGAGTCGACTCAAATGCCCGCCGTGGGGTTCAACCTCCTTTTGAGTCGGCTCAAATGCCGGCCGTGGGGTTCAACCTCCTTTTGAGTCGACTCAAATGCCGGCCGTGGGGTTCAACCTCCTTTTGAGTCGACTCAAATGCCGGCCGTGGGGTTCAACCTCCTTTTGAGTCGACTCAAATGTCGGCCGTGGGGTTCAACCTCCTTTTGAGTCGACTCAAATGCCGGCCGTGGGGTTCAACCTCCTTTTGAGTCGACTCAAATGCCGGCCGTGGGGTTCAACCTCCTTTTGAGTCGACTCAAATGCCGGCCGTGGGGTTCAACCTCCTTTTGAGTCGACTCAAATGCCGGCCGTGGGGTTCAACCTCCTTTTGAGTCGGCTCAAATGCCGGCCGTGGGGTTCAACCTCCTTTTGAGTCTACTCAAATGCCGGCCGTGGGGTTCAACCTCCTCTTGAGTCGACTCAAATGCCGGCCGTGGGGTTCAACCTCCTTTTGAGTCGACTCAAATGCCGGCCGTGGGGTTCAACCTCCTTTTGAGTCGACTCAAATGCCGGCCGTGGGGTTCAACCTCCTTTTGAGTCGGCTCAAATGCCGGCCGTGGGGTTCAACCTCCTTTTGAGTCGACTCAAATGCCGGCCGTGGGGTTCAACCTCCTTTTGAGTCGACTTAAATGCCGGCCGTGGGGTTCAACCTCCTTTTGAGTCGACTCAAATGCCGGCCGTGGGGTTCAACCTCCTTTTGAGTCGGCTCAAATGCCGGCCGTGGGGTTCAACCTCATTTTGAGTCGACTCAAATGCCGGCCGTGGGGTTCAACCTCCATTTGAGTCGACTCAAATGCCGGCCGTGGGGTTCAACCTCCTTTTGAGTCGACTCAAATGCCGGCCGTGGGGTTCAACCTCCTTTTGAGTCGACTCAAATGCCGGCCGTGGGGTTCAACCTCCTTTTGAGTCGACTCAAATGCCGGCCGTGGGGTTCAACCTCCTTTTGAGTCGACTCAAATGCCGGCCGTGGGGTTCAACCTCCTGTTGAGTCGACTCAAATGCCGGCCGTGGGGTTCAACCTCCTTTTATGTCGACTCAAATGCCGGCCGTGGGGTTCAACCTCCTTTTGAGTCGACTCAAATGCCGGCCGTGGGGTTCAACCTCCTTTTGAGTCGACTCAAATGCCGGCCGTGGGGTTCAACCTCCTTTTGAGTCGGCTCAAATGCCGGCCGTGGGGTTCAACCTCCTTTTGAGTCGACTCAAATGCCGGCCGTGGGGTTCAACCTCCTTTTGAGTCGACTCAAATGCCGGCCGTGGGGTTCAACCTCCTTTTGAGTCGACTCAAATGCCGGCCGTGGGGTTCAACCTCCTTTTGAGTCGACTCAAATGCCGGCCGTGGGGTTCAACCTCCTTTTGAGTCGACTCAAATGCCGGCCGTGGGGTTCAACCTCCTTTTGAGTCGACTCAAATGCCGGCCGTGGGGTTCAACCTCCTTTTGAGTCGACTCAAATGCCGGCCGTGGGGTTCAACCTCCTTTTGAGTCGACTCAAATGCCGGCCGTGGGGTTCAACCTCCTTTTGAGTCGAATGCCGGCCGTGGGGTTCAACCTCCTTTTGAGTCGACTCAAATGCCGGCCGTGGGGTTCAACCTCCTTTTGAGTCGACTCAAATGCCGGCCGTGGGGTTCAACCTCCTTTTGAGTCGACTCAAATGCCGGCCGTGGGGTTCAACCTCCTTTTGAGTCGACTCAAATGCCGGCCGTGGGGTTCAACCTCCTTTTGAGTCGACTCAAATGCCGGCCGTGGGGTTCAACCTCCTTTTGAGTCGACTCAAATGCCGGCCGTGGGGTTCAACCTCCTTTTGAGTCGA